TGCTTATGCATTTCTAAATTAGCGCAGCAAACTTTTTATTATAAATTTATTTATTTCTATAATTATCTATTTATTTAACAACTGACCAGAGGGCGTCAAGTTGTCTCTTACCCAGTCAGAAAAAAATGAACTAAATTCTACATAAATGGCAAAACAGGAAAAAAAGAAAATGTTATATTTTAAAAAAAATAGATACCACTTATCATTATTCTAATATGTCAGTGTTAGATTAACCTGATGAACCTAAACTTGAAAGTAAACTTTTCAACTTTAGAAAAAAAACATCACAGAACAAAGAAAAGCATTACAAGTGAGTGAATGTTCAAACCACAGTCGCACCATCACTTTCAATCCTGTTTAACTGATATTTTTAATGAGGATTTCAGATTGGTGAACAATACTCCAACAGAAGTCAAACATAAGTGCAGTATCTTTAGGGAGTAGATCTTTGTATTTAGCTTTATCTTTGATAAAGCGAACACGGGTTGAAGCCCTATGCGTGATGTAATTAATGTTTTAATTGAAGTTTAATTGATTGTTGATTATTACCCCGAGATCTTTGAAACTGTCAGCAGGAGTTAAAACATGATGGCCAATCATATATTGATTTACAACTGTAGTATTTCTAGTTGATGGAAGGAATGAGCATACAGAGCACATGTTGGAAGAGAGGTGTAGTTGCCACCTGTTACACTATGCTGTGATTTTGTCGATTGCCAGGTGAAGCTGATCTGAATTGGATGAACGAGCATATAATTTTATGTCATTGGCAAATAGCAGCATAGAAACAGGGTATGATGAAATGCAGTCGTTTATATCGTTGATGAAAATAAGAAACAGAGTGGATCCTAGAACGCTTCCCTGAGGTTACAGCTGGTTACAGCTATGGAAGAAGATCAATTTTTTACATGAACGATCTTAATTTGTCCGGATTCAAAATAAGTTAAGATCGTTCATGTAAAAAATTGATCAACCAGCAATATAATTTACCAGAAATACCGTACCGTAAATGTAATTTGCAGCCTAGCTTGGCATGTGAAACGGAGTCGAAAGATTTTTCGAAGTCGCACCTCTCCTTCATTTAACGGATTGACAACAAATTACTAAGAACTTTGAGAAGGTTAGAAGAAGTTGATCTTGCCGGAAAGAATCCATACTAGAAATGGGATATACAACTATTATCTTATAAGTAATTTAATAGACTCATGTTGATAATTTTTTCCATTACTCTGCAGCATGGACAGGCTAATGATATAGGTCTGTAGTTGCTGGGGTAGTTGGTCGGAACTTTTTTGTGAATAGGAGTAATAATGGCAGTCTGCCATATCGTGGGTAGAAATCTATTTTTAAAAGATGAGTCAAAAATGTGACATAGTGGGATAACTAAACTTGAAGCGCACATTTTGAGAAAAATGTTAGGAATGCGATCTGGACCACTTGAATATGAATTTTTAAAATCTCGAAGAGCAAGATATACTACATGGGGAGCGAAACAAATTTCTTAAATTGATTTAGTAGTACGGAGAAGCAAAAAACAAGTTAGTCCATTATCTACTGTGAATACTGATGCGAAAAAATTGTTAAATGTGTTTGCTATCGTCACAGGATCACTTGATATACTATTATCCTCAGTTTTCAAGCTGTTGCTTTGGGGCATGGAAAATAATTTGTTAATTACATAGCAATAAAAGCTTCTGACACTAGCTTTTGAATACCAGTTGTTTTCACTGATTTTACGGCAAAAGTTTGCTAATTCAGAACTTTTTGCTGCCATCATGTAGTGATTTTTATCATCTGAATTTGAACTTTGTTTCCACTTTTTCCAGAAATAATGTATAATTTTGTATGATTGACGAAGTGATTGATCTAGGTACTGATCGTTTGGGCAGTAAACTTTTACGACAAACTTAAGGAACAAAAGTTGATAGGGCATTGTTGGTTATTTGTTCAAAAATTTTCCAACATGCATTAGCATCAAAGCAGAATTGAAAATTATAATTTCGATCTATTTTTGAGAAAAAATCATTTAAAAACTCGTAGTTAGCTCTGCTGAAATCGTAAAAATATATTTCGTTGTTAGAGTTGTCATTTATTAGTTTACCGATGATACAGTTAAACTTGAAAAGTAATGCAGTTATGATCACTTGTGGCGAAAGGACATGAAACTTCAAGTTCTGATAGCAATCTGGTACCATCAGAGAGCACCAAATCTAAAACGTTCTGACTTCGAGTAGGTTAGTCTATCAGCTGATGAAAACCTAAATCGTCAAAAAGTTTAATAAATGAATTATAAATTAAATTGTCTGGTGAGGAGTAGTTAGTCCAATTGATAAAGGAAAGGTTGAAATCGCCTAACAGACAGCTAACATTTCCTCTGCATAGCTCCTTGATACATTGAACTCTATAACTCGCATATTCCTCAGCCAACCTGTCAAATCCACCACTGCGGTATGAGAGGTATGAGAGCTTAAAAGCGACGCAGCGTCCTCGTCGTTTCAGTGGACAACACAACAGTCATAATCAATAACGTAACTAAACTAATTGAAATGTCGGCATACGAAATTTTTTGTTGATGTATTTTGTTAGAATCACAATCATCATCTTTATCGCAATGAGGTTAAATTAAATATATAGTCAGCATGAAAATTTTCTTTGATGTGTTTCATTTGAATCATAATCATACGGCATGCACATTCTCGGGTGCTTCAAATGTTAAAAGCGGGTCAAATTCAAGTTCGCGCACACTGAAGTGGGCAATGAGGGATTTTCTGTGGTACATCTTTTAGTCCCTATTAGAGGTTTTCTGCAGAGTTTCATAAAATGTTTAAAAATTTCACAATTCAAATGTTTGTGAAATAATATTCAATTTATTTTGCATTCTCATTTCACACATTCTTACGGAGGTGTGTGTACGGTATACATTTAATAGAAATGCTAAATAAATGCAGTTATTTTTCTCACGTTTATTTATTGTTCGTTTTTTCAATATATTTATTTATTCAGTAAAAACGAACATTGAATAAACGTTCACCTGAGCCGAAGAGTTGTTTGAATAAATTCATTCAGTGGCTGACAATGCAAGGATTCGAACAAAAAACAAATTTTTAAGGTGCGCAAGTATGGTGTTTGCATGCATGCAGACGTAAAATTTTTCACTATTAAAAATGTTAGAAAATAAAAAAATAGTAACAATAATAAAACTATGACAACAGCAGCAACATCCAACCAACCAACAAAACAACAACTTCTACTACTGCAACTGCTACTACTACTGGTATCACTACCGTCATAGGGGTAGGATGCGGTGCTTTTGAATGGATATAAAACGTTTCAGTGCATCGTGCTGTGTGGATAGTACTGCCATTTTGACACGTTGGTTCAGTTACAACTTTTAAGCATTGAATAGTATGTAAGCAACTCTGCGTTTGACAGAGCTGCATTGTAAAAATTTTAAATGAAAACAGTAATCTGTGAAATTCTTAGTGATCAATAATTAAATATATTATTGAAATTGGAAATAAAATCAATTAAAACCAGAAATAAATCAGTATTACTAACAAAATACTGTTTCTTCGTAGAGTAATCTGAGCAGAGCGCTAAGTTTCTTGAATAAAATCCTTTTAAAATAATTAAGTTGAAGCATGAGAATCGGTTGGACATTAGAAGTTCGCATTAGTTTAGGAAACATTTAATTTATTCGTAACCAAATAAATTATTTTTTCAAACTAGTATTTCACTGCTCTCACTCATCTCATTTAATTTGTAAGAAAGTCTAAGCAATGAGTGTCTTCAAAATTTTGAATCATTAATTTTGTTAAATTTTGAGTTGATGTTTTAGTTGATTTGTTATAATTTAGCAAATAAGCGAAATATAATTTTAACAATTATGAAGAACTCTATTTAAAAAAATGTCAAAAACTAATAAACTTGCAACCAAAAAAATAACCTGGTGCTGTGCTGGGAAGTGAGGGTGCCTGGATTAAATTTAAAATGTTAAATATATAATATATTTCAAAGTTATTTGTTTAAATGATTGCTATTTAGTTGCATTCCAATATTTATAAACAATAAACAAACACAAATAATTTTGCAAAAGTAACCTCGTGATAAATGCAGGAGTCATTTGAGATGAAGAGCAGAGGAGTGTATGTGAACATCTGACAATGTGCCTGAATGTTGAAAAGTGTTCCATCCGCTCTAAAGTTGAATCCAACACAATCCAGCGAAGATGCACACGTCCATGCACATTTCATCCGCAGCTGCAACACGTCCATTGCTCTAACTTGGAAAGAGCTGCTTGCTGGAGTTGTTAGAACGGTCGAAGCAGGCGACATGGCACAGAGATTACAAAAGTTTCGAACACCGTTGAAGCTTAAATTAGTTGATGTTTCTTGCCAATCAGTCTTAGATTGAAAACATTTACTGTGAACATGGCTGATTATAAGAAACATCAAGTTTACTAAAAGTTTAAAAAAATTCATCTCGTTGCCGAAGAAGCTTCTACAAAAATAAAATCGTTTTAATTAATATCAACAAAGATAATTGCTGCATTGCTGCAACTGAATAAAACCCGATTCATGTCAGATTATTGCATTCAAAATATAAAAAACAGAATATTCGCTATTAGGCTTTTTTTTAAGATCTTTTGTAAAAAATTCCATAATTTAAGTATTGTTTATTATTAATAATTTAATAAGAAATCTTATTTAACGCTAAAATATATTGGCATGATGAATATCTTTCAAGTTAAATGGACTCCGGCGAAGCATGAATGAATGGAATGGGCGAATATGAACCGCACATTCTTGTCAACATTCAGCTGGCACGCGTTTTCATCCTGTTGCATTTACAAAATAATTCAATCAAAAAGCGCCATTGTACTAAAAATAAGAAATGTTTCATTAAAAACTAAAAGTCAATATATTTAAATGAAAAAATTTGATATGTGGTAAAATAAAAAAAGTTAAAACAAAATGAAATTAATTGTTTATTGCTTCCCTTCATATCTTCGGGGGTCTTATACCCATTATGGTGAAATTGTAATAACTACGCTTTCTTTTTCGGCCTTTCTTTTTGTCATTATCATCATCATTACTCCTATCATTCTCACTATTCTTTTCATCACTGCCATCAGTTTTACTGTCATCATTCTTTTCATCACCATCATTCTCATTTTCTTCATCAGTATTATTATTTTCATCATCAACCTCAGTATCATCATCACCATCATCATCATGAGTATTGCCACCATTGTCATCATTCTCACTTTCTTCATCAGTATTATTATTTTCTTTATCACCCTCAGTTTCATCACCATCATCATCATCAGGATTACTGTCACCATTGCCATCATTCTCACTTTCTTCATCAATATTATTTTCATCCTCACCCTCGATATCATCATCACCATCATCATGAGTACTGATGTCATCATCATCAGCACAACAATCATTATCATAATCTTCGTCACCTTCCTCCGACATCATCATTTCATCATACATCGCTTCATAATCATCATCATCATTCTCAACACCATCAATGAGGTTAATGTTTATAGTGAGGTCAAAATATATTCCACGGTATCCTTCAAGGCCTGCAATGTTGTACTGTGATGGTCCGTATAAATGTCTTTCAAAGTTGTAATGATCAGGAACATCAATTTTCTCATCAGCGAGCCCACAATCATCATCAGCCGCATTCGAATCATTTTTCTCTTCAAGGCAGTCTGCATATGGTCTCCAAAAATCTTTTTGTGCCATTTATAAAGTTTTGTTTAAAAAATTTATCAAAATATTTCAACTCAAAACTTATTATAGAAACACAACGCACAATAAGTACTTATTTACTGATAAAAATTTATGAAGTTTAATCAGGATAAATGAAAGGTTATGTTGCGAATCGAAGCAAACGGAGTATTTATAGCTTCAATTTAACTTTGATAACACAAAGAATTTATAACTATGTAACAACTTTGTTGCTCAAGGTGTATATAACAACACAACTTTGATTTTCTGTCTCGTTAACATTTTATTAATGTAATTGTAAAAATTTTATTAACTTTATTTTGACCTATCAATTTAGAACTTCTATGTTGTTAATCCTGTAAAGGTCTTTGAGGCATTTTCTACATTTGTTATTAGTTAATGTATATTTCAAATGTGTGTTAAAGAGTTAAAAAATAATTTTTTTAACTTATAAAAATATTATGTTTTGGCAAATCATGCCTAGAATTTGGGTGATAAATATTATTATTAACCTTAAGTTTGTATATTCATAAATTGAATTGTCAAAAATAATGTTATATTACATGATTTTGAAATCCAAGTTCTGTTTGCAATGACTCCACCAAAACAGCGCTTAAATGATCCTATCGAATAGTTTTTAAAATTTAATTTAGTAAAAACTTTTTAATTGAACCATTTACTATCAAAATAAACTTGATATTGCTGCGCTCAACAAAAATATTAACGAAATCAGTAACGGATCGGAAAATAGATGCTAGTAAACATCTTATAAGTAATTTAAATTTAATCGAACTCTTTCGGCTTCATAGATGCCAACCATCCCTATCTGGGTGGGACAGACCAGAATTTTATCCGACCATGTCAATCTTCTTGCACAATCAAAACAAATAGTGAAACATTGGAATTGTAATTTAATAAGAACTTTGAAAAGCGTACGAAAATATATAAATACATAAGCACAAAAAAAGGCAATTTCTTTGATGGTTCTGACATTAATAAGTTAAGACCCTTTTTAACATCACGGCGATGTCAGTGAGGATTATGATTCTAACCATAGAAATTTCGATAGATTATTTGTTTAACAGCTGTCATGAAGCCCATGATTCTAACGAACGCTTAAAAAATATCATATACCGACATTTTAATTTCGATATCGATGATGATTGTGATTGCGCAAAAAAACAAAAAAAGATAATCTAAATAAAACGAAAATTGTCATCAATGTATTTATTATGAAAATTAAACTTTAACTAAAATTGGATTAAGTTGACACAATTTCATCAAGCGCTTTTGGCAATTAAATAAAAATAACGTTATGATTTATTTTAAATGAAAATTTTACTGAAATAAATAAACAAATGCTAAAAGTTCCATACAATTTTTATCACCTTTTATGTGTAAAAAAATGTCAAATCATTTCAGCTCTCATCTCAGTGAACTTCAGTGAGTAGTGGTAATCACGGAAAGCAAACCAATTGACTCCATCAGCGTACGTGGTGTGATTACCATGCAGGTACCTGCCGTTGAGGTTGGATGCATGGCAATCATTGTACCACCAAACTCCTTTGTATCGTGCTGGACAATTTTGTTTAAGGTAATAGTGGTCGAATGTGGAAAAGGTCATATTGTTGTGATATTTCAACGAGTCACCTGTTCAATTTCAAACACATGTTTATATTTGTTTTATAAAAAATAATTTCACAAAATTCTTGATCATTAGAGAATGATTTTACATAACCTGCCGTTCCTCTATAGTTTCCAATTTTTAAAGTGTAGTTAGAACTTGGTGGACCGACACTGAATGAGTCATAAACAGCACATGCAAGATTTCCGTCGAAATCTTCCAACACGATCAAGAGTTGGTACTTGCTGGTCGATGTTAGGCGATATAAATTATCATTTCCTGGAAATTATATTTTTTCCATCGTTATTACTTTGTTTAAGAGTAGCAAATTTTATTTTATCGTGCAATTACCTATCCAGAATTCTCCGCACGTATCACCAAATCCATGCTGGTAGTCACTCCAGTTCCTATAGAAATCTTCAGATCCGTCCATGCGCCTCTGAATAACCTGATTGCAGAAAATTCTTTTAAATAACAAATCATTCCAACTACTGACTGACACAATCGACATTTCACATTTAAAATTATGTTTTTATCATTATCTAAAATTTAAATATTTAAATATTTGAAGTTAGCAATTTTGGAAACAATGAAAAGCAAGTTTAATTGATTTGAACTCTTTTAAACTTAGGCCATATTTATCGTAAATGAATTAAATCATAGCAATAATTTCATTTGTTTCAAATAAATTTGCATACAGTTTGAAGCCTAATATCTGTTTTGTGTTTGAATTTATTAACTTTTTAAAAATTTTATTAAATTTTATGAAACTGTTTTATTTATTTTAAAATATTCTAAGTATTTAAAGGATTTTTACTTTTGTGTTAATTTTCCAACTACCTAAATTGTAAAATCGGAGTCGAAATAATTTAAATTAATTCACGTCGGTGAGTGTGTGTCCAGCCTTGTTCAAATTAATATTGCACAGCAGTTTTAAACTACTTCAGGAAAACGCAATCCAAGAAAAAACAAACTCATAAAAGTTCGAATAAAAACGAACAATGCCAAATGACTTTTATATTTAGATAAAAATCATCAATTGTCAGTAGCACGTCCGGGAATGGACTGCATTTCCAAAGAGCATATTTCCTAGTACTCCCATATAAAACAATAAAATATTAAAAAACTTTAACGTAAGTAAGCTTTTGAACGAAATAATAATCTGGATGAAAAAAATACGAACCAACCAATTTTGCCTCATTAAGGCCCCCAATAAAACACATTTGGTAATCAAATTGAGTTAAAATCAATTACTGTCTTTGGAAACATAATGTTAAAAACTATTTAATGTGCTTTTTTTGTGTAGGTGCCCAAAAATGCCACACTCAGTAAAACATGCTTATTCGGTCGGTTGAAAATACCTACTACATAGCCAACTAAATTGCGAAAATGATGCATTTTATAGTTTCTGCGCCCTTTTTATAAATTAAGTTTTTTTGGGTTTTTTGCTTAGTTTTTTGAAATGTTCAATATTTTTCACAATTTAAATATTTGAGAATACAGATTTAATTCACCAACTAGGCTTCTCACTAAAAGTTAATCTGATATTAACTATAATCTAATGGTAACTATTTATACTAAGAAACTATGTTAAAAACAGTCACTAACTATTATAGTTCAGTACTTCCCTACTTTATTGTACTTGTTTTAAAAATTTTAACTTTTGTTTCCATTTTAATTTTTTTTTGCCTTTTTAAAATTAGTTTGAGTTTGGATTTTGAGATAATTTCAAACAAAATTTGAACAAATGGGTGGTATGGGTGGTCCAGGGCACATATTATAGTCCCTACGCCCTACCTAGCCTGCTTAGAATTCAAGTATTTTTAAAGGTTTTTTCACGTAGTTTTATAAAATGTTTACATTTTTTCATGATTGAAATGTTTGGGATCACCAATTCAGTTTGTTTTGCATGCTCATTTTACGCATTTTGCTTATAGACGTATGTACTATGAATGCTAAATGGATGTAGTTTTTTTTCTCACATCTATTCAAAGGTGAATAAATGCTCACCCGAGTTGATAAATTTTTCAAATAACTCTATTCAGTGGCTGACTATGCAGGGGATTCAAACAAAAACAAAACGGTGCGCAAATTTGCGTGTGAATGCTTGCAGTCGTCAAATTTTTCACTATTGTAAATGTCGGAAATAATGGAAAGTGCAAAAATAGTAATAATGACAAAAACAACAACAACAGACAAAAACAACAACGGACAACAACAAAATCAACCAACAAAAAAACAGAAGAAAAACAAAAAAATGGGAAAAAAACAACAACAATATTTGCAACCACACACTTAATAGTTGCACTAGATAACAGATAAAAGGGTTAAAATAATAAATAACAGGTAATATAACATGTATTTGAGAGATTCTTAAGCATTAACGATTAAGAATATCAACAATAATCAAAATTAAATTAATTAAAACCGCATTAATTCAATGTTACTAACAATATATTCTTTCTTCGTGGAGTAATTTGAGCAGCGTGTCAAATTTCTCGAATAAAAACCTAATCAAATTAATAAGTTGAAGCTTGAGAATTGGTTTGACATCAGAAGTTCGCATTAGTTTAGGAAATTTTTTATTCCGTTGTAACTAATTAACGGTAACCGAGTTAGCTCAGTTGGTTTGAGTGTCAGGTCTTGCGCCGCTATTACGCGATGTCGTGGTTCGAATACTCTCTGTCCAAAACACAAAAACCATCATACGCTTATGATGCTGTTTTTGCACGTGCACACAAAATGCGTGTGTGTGTCGTGAGACGTGGATAGTGCAGCCTCTGTGGTACGAAAATTTTTAAGTAAGAGTATTTTTTTTTTTTTTTTGAAGATTTTAACGGCACTGCAGCTCCCAAGATAGTGCTATAATGTGCCAGTAATTTTAATCTTTTTTTCTTAATTTTTATTTTATTTTTTTTTTTTTTCATAATTATGTAGTTATTACATCTTCAAAATCAATCGCAGTCGAAAAGGAAGAATCCAATCAAAATATATCAAAACCTCAATCCAGAAAAATAAATGATAATCTTTGATTTAAGTATATTTTAAGAGGTATGGCTGTAATAGTTTATTTCAGTCTTTTTAAGTTGACGGGTAACAGATTCAATAACCACACCATAGACCAGAAGCACCAGAAGTTGACGTCAGCACGAAGGGAGAAAACCCACCTACCGTTCGCCAGCCACACAAACCCCCACTCCAGTGGATTCACTCTACTTCAATAACGTTTTGACTATTTAAGTTCCTGGTATGTCGCTTGATTTTCCACCTTGGAGGCCATCCACAGACGGCATTCGACACAAAATTGAAAAGATTATAAAGAATAAGGATAGAGTGGTCTGATTCTCTCTTAGCGGCACACGAGCTTCCACCATGGTATTTAGCCACTGTAGATTCTCGATGCACCTTGAGAGAAATGCAAAACTGCATAAATCCTTTCAAAGATATTTGAGTTTCCACTATGGTATTCAGCCACATCAGATTTTCGACATATCCCGAGCGAACCGTACAGATATAAAAATAAACCTCTATCAATGGCGTAATTCAAGAAGTTCTGCGTTTGACAGCTGAATTTTACTACTCTTATCTCATCTTATTCGTGCGATGTTCTAAGCGAGTGATCGAAAAATTGAATATTTTCGAAAATTGTAAATCATTAGTTCTGTTAATTTTTAGAATTTTAAGAAAAGTTTTAGTTGATTTGTTATAATTCAGCAAGCAAGTTGAATATATTTTTTAACAATTATATTTAACGATAGTTTTCTTTATAAAAAAATTTTACCCAATTAATGAACTTGCAACCAAAAAAATAACCTGGTGCTGTGCTGGGAAGTGAGGGTGCCTGGATTAAATTTAAAATGTTAAATATATAATATATTTCAAAGTTATTTGTTTAAATGATTGCTATTTAGTTGCATTCCAATATTTATAAACAATAAACAAACACAAATAATTTTGCAAAAGTAACCTCGTGATAAATGCAGGAGTCATTTGAGATGAAGAGCAAAGGAGTGTATGTGAACATCTGACAATGTGCCTGAATGTTGAAAAGTGTTCCATCCGCTCTAAAGTTGAATCCAACACAATCCAGCGAAGATGCACACGTCCATGCACATTTCATCCGCAGCTGCAACACGTCCATTGCTCTAACTTGGAAAGAGCTGCTTGCTGGAGTTGTTAGAACGGTCGAAGCAGGCGACATGGCACAGAGATTACAAAAGTTTCGAACACCGTTGAAGCTTAAATTAGTTGATGTTTCTTGCCAATCAGTCTTAGATTGAAAACATTTACTGTGAACATCGCTAATTATTAAAAACATCAAATTTACTGAAACTTTAAAAAAACTCATCTTGATGCCGGAGTAGCTTCTACAAAGACAAAATCGTTTTAATTAATATCAACAAAGATAGTCGCTGCTACAGTGCAACGAGCAATTGAATAAAACCCGATTCATGTCAGTAACTGGTTTTATTGCATTCAGTAAACTTTGTTTTAACAATCGTATTATTCTCTATTAGACCAATTTTAAGATTGTATGTAAATTAATTTTCATAATTTATTAATTGTTTAATTAAAATAAATTATATTTGACTCTAAAATATATTTGCATAAGGAATGATTTATATCTTTCAAGTTATAATAAACTCGGGCGAAGCATGAATGAATGAAATAGGTGAATATGAACCGCACTTTCACGTTAACATTCCACTTGCATGCATTTCCAGCCCGGTGCATTTAAAAAATAATTCAAATAAAGAGCGTCTATGCCTTTGAAAAAACGAAATGTTTTATTAAAAAATTCAACCATAAGTTGATTTGAACCGAACACACCATGACTTTTATAAAATAATTATTATTATTTTATAATTTATATTATTTTTATTAATATTATTATTAGCAACAATGTAAATTTATTAAGCGCTTATTTATAAAAAAAGTTCTAAGACGCGCCATCTAAAATTATATATTTTCAGATCTTTGGCTTTTTGCTATCTTATTCTGCTTCAGCGAGCTGCCATATTTGAGATTTTTAACGCGCACAAACTCTGGCGAACTTGATTGATTTGTTGATTAGATTGATTGATAGTGTGATTGATCAATTGTTTGACTGATTGGATTGACTGATTGATTGAATTGAATGACTGACTGACTGATTGGATTGACTGACTGACTGATTGATTGAATGTCAAAATTGTGGTTTTGTCTTGAGAAATACCCTAGAGGAGTAATTTATTACCGGTGGACGAACGCACTTCCAGTTAAATGTCGAAGCTCGCACAGCTACGTTAACATTTGCCAAGACTTTTATACAGAGTATTGGTTCTATTAATTTCTGCTTCATTGCTCTATGTTATAAAAAATGTATTTGAAATAATATAACCTTTTTGCTTTAAACTTTGTTTTTGGAGTTTTTGTTTTCATTTTTTATAGCATTTAAAATATCCTGTTTGTATTTTGTCGTTTAGAAAAAGTTGTTTGTTTTGTTTAATGAAATATTTAATTTTTTTGATTTAATGCACGCAACTAAGAAATTATATCATATAGTTATTATTTTCAATGTTAGTACGAAAATTATTATTGTAAAGTTTTGGATTGATGTCGTGTAAAGAATGTGGAAGCCCGGATCATTTGCTCAGATACAATCCATTCGAAGCAATCCATTCGAACATATGTAAATTTTCATGCTGTTTTTTATTTAATTTTTTTTCTATAAAAACTATTCAAACAAACAAGCAAACAGATGAAATAATAAAATGTTCATTTATGAGATTTTTAAAACTATTTTAATAAATTTCAATGAATGGAATTTTTAAAAAGTATAAAGCACACCTGGGACTAAAAATTGAAATATCGTCCAATTTTTCATTCCATAATTACGAGCTTTCAGGAAGCAGCCGAGGAAAGAGCCTCATGTCATTGTTGAGAATAAATAATTTGCCGTAATGAATGAAGATGTGGAAAGTTTACCTGTGGGTAGAGACTGGTAGGGTAGATGGATGTTGGTTTGATGGTTGGTAGGTTAGCTGGTTGTTCGTGTGGCTGATTGGTTGGTCGGTTGGTTGGTCTATTGGTTTGCTGGTTGGTTGGCTGGCTGGTTGGTTTAGCTGGTTGTTTGTTTGTTTGTTCGTTCGGTTGGTTTGTTGATTGGTCGGTCGGTCGGTCGGTTGGTTAGTTGGTCGGTTGATTTAATGATAATGGCGGTCTTTTACATGATGTGAACAAAGCAATTAGAAAAAATATTTCATAAAATAATAAATTTTTCGTTATAATTTATTGAATGATTTACATATTTAAATTATTAATTATTCAAAGTGTTCTTTAATTTTTGTTTATTGAAATATAATTTAAAAAGAATAATTCTAATTATAATTAGTAATATTCTTATTTAGTGGCGGATTTGGAGAAGGCTGCTGTGAACGTTTTTTGTGCTAAAAGTTATTAAAAGTCGTTGTTTTAACAAAAGAGTAGTGTTTTGGAAGAAAAATTGACATTATTTGCCCCAAAATGTGGTAAGATTTTGACACCACACCACATCATCATAAAAGTTGGCCTCCCGTCAAAATTTCGGCCACCCCGGTGAAAATGGAAACACTTCTCTAACAAATTTGTGAAAATTTCTCCCCGATCATCAACTTTTTGTAAAAATTTCCCCTCCTGTCGTCAACAAAGTTGTTCTAGAAATTTGATAATCTCTCAAGGTTTTAGTACTTTCATAGAGACCTCTTTCAATTATTCTAAAGTGAGTGGCTGATATGACTAAGCCTAAATCATAATGTTAAAAATGTTGCTCAATGTTAAAAAACAAAGTTTACAAATATTTTCAAATGTTTGTGGCAAAAGAGAAGAGGTTGGGCTAAGGACATCAACTGGTCGATTCGATGGAAACAGGAAGAACCGGCACCATCTTGTGAGGTAGTCTGTTAGTGTTTTCGGGGACTGTTTAACAGACTCAAGTGATCCGATCTCAAACAAAAAACGCCATGCAATAATTTTTATTTATCATTTCTTTCATAACGTTTTTTAAAAATGGACCTTCAGAGATCAATCAAGTTTCAGCAACTCGATTTTGAATCGATCAACGCATTATTACAAAAAGTGGCGGATCTAGGACCCTTTTATGTGTAAAATCGACCAAAAATTGAACCTGATAAGCAAAAAGGTCGTCAGCCACACTACCACAAATCTTGGCCTCCCGTGAAAATTTTGGGCCTCCCGTGAAAATTTAAACATTTTAAAATGTTTTGTCCTCCCTTTCAAAGTTGTCTGGATCCACCACTGATTACAAATAATTTTCCAGGTAGTTCATTTATAAACTATCGGGACCTGATATTATTCATCAATACCATCTATCAATCAATCCTATGAATTAAATTTACTTATTTGTTTTGCATTAAAAAAAAATCAAACTATTTTTAGCAAAAGTTATTTAAATATTTTCTTTTGACAAAAAACTTGAAATCAAATTTTAGAAAATTTTGTGTGCGCGTGTGTGGCTTCAAATCACAGTTTGAACATTTTTTAATCGAGTTCTTAAAATATTTACCGCAATCTAGGGACGTATCTACCTGAATGCATTTAGTCTTATGAAACGTTTCTTTGCATATAGAAGAAACGCGCGTGTTATCAGTGAAAAGTTGTGATGCATGCGGGAAGCCATATAAACAGTTTGGCCTGCACTTTGTGATTTTGTTCTACTTAATCAAACTGATGTTGGCACGCGCGAAGTCTGACACTTTATTGAACTCATTGTTTTTTCGGGTAAGATTAAAATATTTTAATATATTTAATATGTATTTATTGATTCTTTACTGAAATTATATTTAATGTATTTCATTTATTTGACTTGTTATATAAATTTTGTTAATTTGGTGAAACGAATTCTATAATGAATAATTTTTATTTTGAAGGTTCGCCTAAATAGATTTTCTGCTAGTTTTTCATCGTCACCAACTTCCAATCCTTTCCTAAAACATCTAGTTGCCGTCATCCTCGCTGTCAACATCTCCTTGCGTTAATCATGTTTTCCAACTCACCTTCATTCGTCTATAACGCCAGTGACTTTTATTACTATATTTCAAAAATCTCTGTTCTCTTCGTTCATATTTCCATCTTCCTAATCTCACCACCACTACCATCCTCCTCTGGCTCGCCCCCTGACGTGTACGAACACATCACGATCGGAGTGACGGTGAGCACCGTGAATCAGGATCTGGTGGCGAATGCACTCCAGGGTGGATACAACAATTCCCTGATGGACAGCATCTACAGAGGAAACTACAGGTCAGTGTGGAAGTCCCGTTTTGTATTGTTTATTATATATCATTATAATATATAAAATTACATTATATTACACTATACTATACTATGCTATATTGTATTGTTATGTTATGTTATGTTATGTTATATCATATCATATCATATCATATCATATCATATTATATTATATTATGTTATATTATGTGGCAATTATTTGTGTGGTATGTGCTACATTCATTGACAATATTACAGAAAAAATAGGAACTAGTATTTTTATTTAAATGTTCTTGTTTCGGTAATGAGTGAAACCTCAAAATTCTTGACAACCATCCATTGACTACACAACAATGCTGAAGTTTTGTACCTTGTTTCAACCAACACCAACCACACTTCAATTTGATGCACGAACAGACAAACACATACAAACAAACGAGACATCTTCATTATATTTAAAACTTCTTTTTCTCAAATTATTTATTTATTTTTGGAATTACTACAAAAAATTTATTGGCAGCTTGAAAGTCCGAGCCATCGACAGATGTGAAGGAATGTTGGGTATGAGTGAAGCTCTCACATTCATCCTCAACAACTCTGTCGACGTCATATTCGGGGCATATTGTACTGCCAGTCAGTTTCATTCAATATTTCAATTATGATTTTTCGAATAAAATTACTATTTAGTTTTTATCAAATTTTTGGACTGTATAAACCCAACCTAACATGTAAACAATGAAACCTGAATATTTCCAACTAATTAATCATTCAATTAAATTCATTTTGGATTTAAAATTTAAATAAGCACTCGTTTCATAAAAATATTTTACTGGAGGGCTTGTATGTTCCTAGTTTCATAGACCTCTTTTCTATTTTTTTTCATTTTTGAAGTTAATTTGATGTATATTTGTGCATTCAGTTAAGTGTGAACCAAGTTACCCCGTAGAGTAGCCAAGCAACTAAAAATACTTCGTTTCCTATTATATTATGTTCCCCATCGCAATCACCTGACTACAGATTGCATCTCGACAGCACAAGCAGCCAACTACTACGACGTCGCATACTTCCCACTGAACTGCTTCGATCCGACACTCGACAATTCAACCCTTTACTCAACTGCCCTCAGATTTTTTGGCTCCGTCACGGCATTCGGTGAATCTTTCGCGGTGTACTTCCAACGGTACCAGTGGAAAAATGTCGCCATCCTGAGCGATGGAATGGACTTTTGCAATTTCGCATTAAAATCAATACAAAATTTTCTGAGAGTTAATTCGGTGAAGATTGCCGAAATTGTTCAAGTACCGCAAGTCGTTGTTCCGAATGATGTTTCCTATTTGATGAAGATTCGTCGTTCGGCGAGAAGTAATGTTATTATTAGTTTTTGATACATAGCATAGCGATTAAATTATATTAACAATAAATTTATTTTTTGTTTCCATATTTTTTAAATAAACTTTATGTTTTTGTTCAACAGTTATAATTTTTTGCCACACCAACTACACGGCCTTCCAGCAAATCATGTTCCAGGCACAAGATTTTGGTATGACCAATCCAGCTCAATACGTCTGGATCACTTTCTTCAACATTTACTTAGGTTTGATTGCTATTTTTAAATAGTGTTAGTTTATTTTATATTCTATTGCTTTTGTAACGAAGCTGTGAAAAATGTTCGTGACTTGATTAAAATTTATTCTTAGACTGTTGAAAAAGTTGTTTTGACTCAATTATGATTACCTCAAAATATTTTTAATATTCACAAAACTTATAGCCCTAAAACTTAATTATTATTACTTCTTTGAATGTCAATGTTACCAGGATTCCCCTTCAACATTCTCCTCTATCCCTGGCTTTCCACCAACTCAACACAGAGGGACAATTACAGAAAACAGGCTTTTTACGCTCTCAAAATTGTCAGTATTCTTAATGCAACTTTATTCATGAAGACATGAAAAGGAATTAAAAAAAGTTAACAAATCTTGAATAATGTAAACTTCTTTTGTCAATGGTGCTGATGTCCTTGAAGCAACAGTATTCTTGTCCATGTTGGACAATTAAATTGCGTTAAGAATTTTTCAAATCATTTCACTATTAAAATAACTAGCTCTGTTTTTCTGCAAATAATATATGTTGAATGGTTTTGTTGTGAATTTTGTATTCTTTATAATGCAGCTCTTTTATTTTATAATTAAAATTAAACTGATGCGCCACAATGGCTCTGCTATTCACACACACGAAGCACATACACCTTATGCAAGCACCGCATCATACGCCTATGATGGTCTTTTAATTTCGGACAGATAGCATTCGAACCATGCCATCGCGTAATAGCAGCGCGAGATATGGCACTCCTACCAACTAAACTAACTCGGTTGCCATTAATATTATAATCAGTTATATATATATAATATAATATATATTTATTTATATATAAATAATATTGCTGAACAGTCTGAATCTCGGTGGGTTGTTTATTGTTTTTACGTTCACGCGTTGAAGTTTTAAATGTTGAAATGGTCTTACACGAAGCATCATTATATTTTTTTAAATTCCTGACAAATGTTGTTATATTGACCATCGTTACAAGCAGATGACCTACAAAAACACGACCGTCATTCCCAACCCGAGAGTAGACACCGCCCCTGTCAGGTTCAATCTCGTGGTAGGTCGTCGTTTGCATCTTTAAGCCGTGTGACAACTGAAATTGTAATTAAAATTAATTCATTTTATGTTAGTGCTGAGATTTTATGAATGAAGCAAAAATACAAGTGAGAGGTCAGTAGCACATAACAACAACAGTCAGTTTATTTTTGAATGGGGCTCTGATATAGTGAATCCAGTTGCTTGTATTTTTTACATATTTATGTAGTATTCAAACTTCTGAGCATTTTTAAATGTTGTTTTAATATTTTTAACAATATGTATAGTTTGATAATGGAAATTTCGCGTTTTTTGATATAGAAATATTCTTGAATGACCGAATAGTCTTCATTAGGCATTACTGATAGCTCGCTACAGTTCTATTTTTTTGGGATGTGGCATTATATAGTGAACCAAGCTGGCAGTTTTTTTTACTATATTCATATAGTACTCAATATCCTGAGCAAGAATATGTATGATTTGGTAAATACAAATTTTGACGTTTTATGATATTTAATGTCATGAATCGACAAAACAGTTATCATCGTGTATTACTGAACACACACTATAGCTCAATTTTTTCCAAATGTGGCGCTGATAGATTGAATTAAGCCGGTAATTTTCAATAAGAAACATCTAAAGGGCCACGACCTCTCATTGCTAGCAATAATTTTATTGAGAGTCAAAAAACTCAAATTTTTGGTTAAAAAAAACGGCCAAAAATTGACGTGATAGGCAGAAAAAAGGTCAACAGCCTAAATTTTAGCCACTTTAGTACTAATTTGGTTATTTTATTGGCCCTTCCTGTCAAATTTTAAAGTTTAAGCATTTTTTAAATTTTAGCCCCCACGTCCAAGTTTTCTAGATCCGCCCCATTATCGATCTATCCAAATTTGAAGTACATTGGTTCATGGACTATGATACATTATATATATATATATATAATATATCCATGGTTGGATCATATTGAATTCAAACGATAATTTCTTCCCATTTCATTAAATAACCAAAATGAACTTGAAGCTAGTTCTTTCAGCTATTAATACATTCAAAAATACATTCAGCAATCGCTGGGCGACATTTTGTACGTGTATCTGTATTTGAGGAATTTAACCATAAAATTAGGAAGTGATCCGAACAGCGGACGCAACATACTTGATGCGGCCAGATCTGCAGAAATTAACGGTTATTTTGTTTCCTACAATCAGGCATATAAATAAAATTATAAAGATAGCTATTTGATATTTAAAAAAAATCATTTTTATCAAATAAATAGATAAAACCGAAAAAATAAAATTCAACGGGGATGGAGACAGACTGATGTACTTTTACGTTTGGTCGTTGAGCTCCAACGCAAGTACATACACACCCTACATGGAGATCAATCTGACGGCTGATAACAAATACTCGGTTGTTGGATGTTTTGTTGTTTTAATCAACTGGTAATTGGTTCATAACGGGTTTATATGTGTAAAATTAAAAAAAAATGTTTATAAATTGTTATTTATTATATATTGGTGAGTTATATTTTTAATTTTATTCTTGATTAATAGACATAATATAATATGATCAAACAACATTTTCGTGCAATAATCTTGAAAAATATTTTCAGAAGAAATTTTTGTTATAAAATTTTACTTTAATTTAAATATATATTTACGTATTTAAAAATTGCTTGCAATTGCATTAGTTAAATTTCACTTTGTTTTGCATCAGACAGTTTTAATCACTTGCCGTATGTACGTATGGCACCAAGTTTTTAATATTCAAATCTTTTCTCACATTTACATCATGGCAGTCTTTTACAACATTCTTGTTTGTTTTTATTAAGATTGAATTATTATGAATTGTAAGTTGTTTCAGTAATGTTTAGAAATGTTTGTCACAGTATTAACATTAATTAGTTTAAAATTTCTTTCAGTAAGGTTCAATAGCTTCTAAATCATTAGTTTTCTGAAACTTTTAAATGTTTAAGGAAAGTTTTATTAGACAAACTTCTTATTAATTCAAATGAATAGTAATAATATAATGAATGTTAAAATTGGAAACATAATGATCGTTAGACTTAATTGGTCTGCCAACCAGACGAACATAATAGGCTACGAGACGTGGGAAACAAAGAACAAGGTGCCAGCCGATACCCCTGTTTGTGGCTTCTTGGATGAGCTCTGCATTCAAAAATCAGGTTGCTATTTACATTATTATCCGTAGAGTTTCAAGCACGTTTTTCAAAGATTATAATTAACAGTATGAAAAATAAAAAAATTATGAATTTACGTTAAAATATTAAAAAAATAAGAATATAAAAATTAGGCATAATTATGTGAAAATGCGAATTAACATGTATGCATATCTTGACGTGATTTTGTTGAAACGTTTTAAATATAAAATAACTGGCATGGATAGATATACGGAATTATTATACTCTGAACTTTATCCCTGTAAATTTTAATTTTATTTTAATATAATTTAATCGAATAAGTAGCGGATAAGAGAGGTATCTCCCGATATCAACATTCAGCAACCATTTTGTTGTAATTTTTTCAAACTTTAGCCAACATATATTGACGCATAATAAATATGCAATAAACATGAAAATTCGCCAAGTAGAAGCATTTGCAGTCTTTGACCCACTCCCCAGTCAAACTTTGAAGCTTTGGATCCCGTCAAACTCTTTGGTCCCTCGTCAAACTTTGTTCTCCTCCATCAAGTTTTTAAACTTTGGTCCCCCATCAAATTTTGGTACCTACGTCAAACTTTGGTACCTACGTCAAACTTTTTCTTTTGTCAAACTTTGGACCCCATCAAATTTTGGTACCTACGTCAAACTTTGGTACCTACGTCAAACTTTGGTACCTACGTCAAACTTTGGTACCTACGTCAAACTTTGGTATCTACGTCAAACTTTGGTACCTACGTCAAACTTAGGCCTCCCGTCAAACTTTGGTTTCCTCGTCAAACTTTGAACCCCCTTTCAAACTTTGTTCTTTCCGTTTAACTTTGGTACCTCCGTCATAATAGGGTCTCCACGCCAGACTTTGGTTCCCGTCAAACTTTGGTCCCTCAGTCAAACTTTGGTTTCTTCGTCAATTTTTGGTATCACCGTCAAACTTTGGTTTCCAGTCAAACTTCGGTCCCCACGTCAAACTTTGCCCCCCCCCCCCGTCAAATTTTGGTCTCCCCGTCAAAGTTGTCCAGGTCCACTCTTAAGAAATAAACTGATCTTACTAATAAAAATAATAGTTTATTATTAAAGAGTGCAAACTGAACTTTTCAATGCCCCCAACAAGAGGAAAAAACAAAATATTATTAAACCAAAATACAATAATTAAAAAAATGTAAAATATTCACATGCAAATCAAACGTATGATACTATGCAAAAATCCTAAAAAATGCAACTATATAACGCAACTAGTAATAATAAATAAAATATATTTATATAAATAATGAAAACCATGCATATAATAACGCACAAACATTCCCAAAAATACAACTAGGTAAAAACTAGTCTGTAAAATCTTTCAACCTCTGAAATGCTGAATGATCTATCAGTCAAGTGTAAAAATATTTCACCAATTCCATTCTTATCTGAAGTTCCTATGGCAATTAAATCATTGTCTATTTCATCTAACCTGAGTATAATTACATTTTTTGATCTATTTTCCATATCCTTGCTCATTATGTGACTATGTGTTTTCTACCGGGTTTTTCCAATATTTTTTTATGTTATTTGAAACTTCTGTTACCTTCTTCCTTAATCTCTCCCTCAATATTCCCGTGATTGTACCAGGCTTTCGGACTGTTTTATCCGACTTAATTTATTAATCATTACATTTGAAATATTTACTTTTTTCTTTCTTGTCCCTTATTTCTTTTCATATCTCAGCATTACTATTTGTTAAAACACCGAAATCTCTTTCTAGTTTATTGTCAGAGTCGTCATGTATGGGTCCTAAATTTTTCACACTTTCTAAACAACTTGTTGAGAGCCAATAGTAACCAGGAATAGCAGAGATTTCCAAAATAGCTCTTCTAAATTTTTTCCACATTTCAGTTGACAAATGCCATTAAACACCACTCAATGTAAGACATTTATAGTAGCTCTAGTCACTATTATTACAATTAGTGCATTTATCCTTATCTTTAAAACTCATCTCTTCTTCTCTCTATCAGACTCCTACTAAATATATAGGTATTAATCTTAAAATTCAATTGCAAGACAAAACAAAATAACACGAACAATAATTTCACAAAAGACAAAACATTGACAACATGACTTGAACAAATGATCGGCGGTTATCTTGCAGTTGCCGTACCCACTCTTAACAATTTTGGTCGAGCATAATATTAACAAAGAACTTTTCATTCTAATAATAAACGACAAAATTTTAAGATAAACTTATAAATTTATCCGGAAAGATATGTATTTATTGCGAAATAAAAATCTAACAAAATTCGTATCATATCATATAATAAAATATTAAATATATTTCGGCAGATAACACTTCCCTCCTGGCAGCCCTTGCAGTCATCTTCATTATCATCATCCTCATCTCATCGAGTTTCTACTTCATCCGGTAACGATGCATACAAAACAAAATTTTTATTTTTTGCAAGTAAAAATTATATTTTGTATAATTGAATTTTTTTAAGTTTTTTTGAAATAATAAATTTTCTTGCCTGAAATAAAATCTAAATTTCGTGGAATATTGATGATTTTATTTTAATCAAATTTTTATTTTGCTCCGATAGGCTGTCTCTGCAGGTCTTCATTCACACCTGCACTCAAACATGTCATCACAATCATTAAACTATCATTAAACAACCGTTAGACAATCATTAGAAAATGATACTTACGGAGACAAATAAGCAATGAGATTGATTGCCATCAATGGCATATTAAATTATTTCATGCAACACCTGAACGTTGCAGGATGACGATCGTTGAAAGAAAAATATTCCAAATGTCCTGGAAGATCAACTTCAATGAGCTACAGTTTCTCAGCGGGGACAGTACTGTAAGTGAAACACGTGCCTCCTCAATTAGAAATCATTTTAATTTTTTTGTTCCACGCGTAATTTCATTTGTCAATAGATCAAAAAGTTGTCGGGAATCACTAGTGGCTCATACGAATTAGATGAAGAAGAAAAGTACCAAATGAGCAGCTTCAAAGATCTGCACAGAAAGCAAAACAAGTTGAAAGCTTTCTACAAAGGAATGGTTGTGTCTGTTTATTATTCAAATATGCACAGCATCAAACTGACCAGGGAGGATTTGGTTGAATTGATCCAAATGAAGGAACTCCAACACGACAACTTGGTTCCGTTTTTAGGCGCTTGCTCAGATGATGACAGAATTTGTTACATCGTTCAATACTGCAGCAGAGGGACTTTACAGGTTTTTCATCTTGTCATCTTGACTATGGTCATTGATGCAGTGATGTGCTCACGTCTCAAACTAAAATAATCTTGATCACAAAATCTAATCATATAAAAATCGTTAAATTTTTTAAGTTTTTAGATTTTCTCATGACCGAAAGTAACATCTTTTAATTGTTGTGTTCTGTATTGTGTTACATTACGAGTATTCATTGTAGGACGTGCTTAACGATAGAAACAAAAAGTTGGACTGGTCATTCAAGCTGTCCTTCGTTATGGACATTGTGAAGGTAAGAGATGATTTAAACTTAAAAATTATCCGTTTGGAAAATTATAAATTGGATGCTGAAAATATTAATTCTGTGATGAAATATATTAGTAATGTGTTAATGAAATGTGTCACTTTTTCAATTTTTCTTCAAGCTTAATTTTACTCTGGGAAAATCTTCACAAAACATTCGAGCAAATATGAGTTTAACCGCTTTTATAATTGACAAAAATACAGCAGCTCATGCAACAAATAAAACAAATGAGATTAAATTTCAAGGGCATGGCTTTCCTCCATAAATCGTTCGTGCAGCTGCACAAGAAACTGACGAGCCATGAGTGCATGGTGGATAACAGGTTTTTCCATTATTTCATTTACGTGAAAGTATTTGCATCGCAAGCTTTTATGTTCAAAAACCAATACTGAATGAGAAAGAAATCTACTTTGATTACAAGTGCGGTCTGTAAGAAACAATAGAGGAAAGAACTGGGTCATTCACTTGTTACTTTCATAATAAATAAAGTCGTTTAACCATCTTATTATCTTCAAATATTTTATTAATTCAAATCACTAGGGTTAATATAAAACAAGTTTGGGTTACAAAAAAACATCGATTTTAAAATATACACAAAACTAAAGTGGCTGAAAGTTTAAACATTTTGTCATAATCAGATGGGTGGTCAAAATAACCGGATTTGGCTTGCGAGCCTTCAAGTCACCTGATAAAATGAACGAAACACTGGACGAGTTTTATAATGAGCTTTTGTGGACTGCTCCTGAAGTTTTAAGATCAAACATTAAAAATTTGGGAAGTCAGAAAGGAGATGTGTACAGTTTTGGGATCATCTGTCATGAAATCGTCTTCAGGATGTATCCCTACGAAGAAACTGGTCTCTCTGCCAAAGGTTCGTCAGTTTGAAAGTGTGATTGTGTAAAGTTGTAACTTGACCAGATATAGCATGTACAAATAATTTTAAACTTTAAATGAAGAAAATTTGTGTTTTGTTCATGTCTATAATAAAACCACTTTGACTGTGTTTTAAAATTAAAATGAATTGTTTGTTTTGAAGATGTCAGACCTGAATCACTTAAATATATTTTATAATATATACTTATTGCTAATCGTTTTCAGAAATAATTCACAAAGTCATGTTCAGTACTGATGGAATCTTTCGTCCTGCAATGTCATCACACAAGTCGACGAGTGTCAGTCCATCCATGCTGGAGTTGATCCAACAGTGCTGGGATGAAAACCCTGCGAGTAGACCAACTTTTGAGAGCATCAGTAAAATGATACTCAAGTCCAGCAATAAGTAATCGCAACAAAGAATTTCTACTAAAATAAACATTTTAACAACTGTACAAACGGCAAACTAAGAGTTTGTTTAAAAATTGTAAATTTGCTGGAATAAAATTTTGCGGACAATATTATTTAACTCACCACATTAAACTAAATGAATAATTTCTATTCGACTCTAGAACAAATGCTAACATTGTGGATAATATGCTGGAAAAATTGGAAAAATATGCCAACGACCTGGAAAAAATTGTTGAGCAGAGAACAAAAGAGTTGGTGGAGGAGAAAAGGAAAACCGATATTCTCCTGCACAGCATGTTGCCACCGTAAGTTGAACCACGGAAAGACTATGCTGACTTTCGTCTTTTCAATATTTTATTTATATTTATTTATTTTAATATCTTACGATTTGTTCATTCGAACTAACGGCTGAACTCCGAAAAAAGAAAATGCGGTTAGAAAACATCGAGGTCGTCATGCATTGTCTGTAATTTATAGCTGCTTGGGCGGCTTTTAAATAATAAACGTTTTCAATTTTAAAATAACAGCACTAATAATTTTAAAATTTTTCTATTTTTTATTTTAAACTCGCTTGAAAGTTTCGTTGCTGAGGAATTGAAGGCCGGTCACAAAGTTGAACCGATGATGTACCAGAAGGCCACGGTGTACTTCTCTGATATTGTTGGATTCACGAAACTCTCCTCTCAGAGCACTCCCATGCAAATTGTGGACCTCTTGAATGATCTCTATGGAACATTTGACGATACCATTTCCAAACACAACGTTTATAAGGTTGTTCATTTAAATGCTTCCAACTTATTGGTTAAGCATTTTCACGGAATTGGGTGAAAATTCAAATAAAATGTCTCCTCACCGGCGTTTTAATATTTTTGTTGCAACATTTGTTTTACATTTGAAGCAGGCATTATTCTTAAAATACTTATTAATTCATGCGTCTATTAACATTTATTGAAATAACTCCTTCTAAAACTTCTTTCACAGCATCCAATTTCCATATAAATTTTTTAAATTTCTACCGGTGCATTATAATGTCAGTCAAATGTTCGAAGTAAGGTGTTTAACATTTTGTTTTTCTGTCAAACAAGTTTTAAGCCCTTCTTTAAAATATTCCAACTACTACCACAATTGTTTAAATTCCTCCCACTAATACTTTCAACTTTTCTAAACACAGGCTAAACTGCCCCAGCAACTTATTTCAGCCTGCTCAATACTTCCGATTTATTTTTTAATTTGCCAACCCCTAAAAAATTTTTTTAATTTTTTCCAGCTTTTTGAGCTCCTTATAAAGTCTCAAATTTTTTGGTTTCAATTTAAACCATGTTGACAAATTAATTGAAAGAGTGAATAATGTTTTAATTTGTTTTAACTTTTTTTTATCTTATGACGCTCCCACAATCCCACAACAAGAACAACAACCACAATTCGATGCCTGAACATGAACAATTTTAACGCTTTTTATAATTATGCTAAATTCGGTTGTCATTATTCACTGAAGAAAGAATAATTGATGACATTCATGATTATTTGGAAACCGACGACTTTAAAAGGTTGAGACGATAGGAGACGCGTACATGGTTGTGAGTGGTCTGCCTCAGGTAACAGAGCGCCATGTCGTGGAAATATGCAACATGGCACTGGATCTGCTAGGCATCGTCAAGACCTTCAGGATCAGACATCGGCCTGAGATGACACTCATGTTGAGGATTGGCATTCATTCGGGACCTTGTGCTGCTGGTTTGCAAACAAAAAAAAACTATTTTGTAATTAGAAATAGAAATCCCTATTTTTTCTCAAATATACCACATAAAATGCGAATTTATAAGCTTTTGAATTAAAAATTTTTTTAGACACGATCTTTATATTAATTCACTCAAATGCTGTATATTAAACTTAATGTATTTCATTACATTGGAACTTAGGAGTAGTTGGCCACACGATGCCTCGCTACTGCTTGTTTGGTGATACGGTCAACACTGCATCCAGGATGGAATCAACTGGTGAAGGTTGGTTTTGGCTGGAAAATCATATTTTAAATTTTAGGATCAGAACTTTTAAATATTTCTTAAACAAATATCTATAATATATTTAATGATATAATTTATTTAGCATGCAATTGAAATTTGATACAGGGTTGAAAATCAACTTATACGTAAGCTTACAATTGTATGGCGCAGAAAATTTGTAGTAATTAATCGATATTTTTTGTTTGAAAGCAAAACTTGATTAAATTGAATGACTTATGACGAACAAAATTTTGCCTGATTCGTTTTGAGACTCGCTAATTTCTCTTTTCTTCCTGAAAGCTACAAGGAACAGTGCCACATTGTGCGAATGGGACGCGAAAATCGTTTGCAAGGCCGTTTTATTAAAATACCAGCATTCAAATTTAAAAATTGTGCAAGCCTGCAATAAGTGGGTAGCCAAAATTCGAGCCCCATCAAAATTAGCACCATTTGTCTTTTGGTTAGTCCGGTACTGTCTGGAAGCATTTTAGTGTTTCTGGAGTATGTTATAAGCGTGTTAAACTTGTTTCCAACCGCCAGCCCTCAAAATCCACATGAGCTCGTCTGCCATGGAGCAGCTCTCCGTACATCCTGAATATCACATTGAATTGAGGGGAGATATTGAATTAAAAGTTTGTCGGTGTTTATGATTTATTTTTAATTTTAATTATTAAAATTGACTTTTATTGTTAATTTCACAAAAACGTTGTTTTAAAAACATGCATTACAATTTATTTCAATTTTGGTGGTATGAAACCAAATTTAATTTTGCTTCGAATTTACGAAAGAAGATGATTTGACTTGAAATTTTTCCTAAAAACAAATTTAGCAATTCGTTTTCAACGGCTTTCTTTCAACAGGGCAAAGGAACGATGACAACCTACTGGTTGCTGGGCAAACGCAAGTTCACCACTCAATGAAATGAGGCTTTGTTATGAAACATTCATATACCTTTCCATCCGTTTGAAACATCGTCGTTAAAAATTTGATTTTTTCAGCAATGAAGTTAGGTGGAAACCGTTGTTTCTTTAGGCAAATACAAATTTACGTCCCATATTTTAAAAATAATCTATACATTCGTTCACGTTTACTCGCTTTATAATGTGTATTTTGAAAAGAATGACCTTTTTCAATGTTGTGGCTAACATTTATACTCCAAACATATATCAACAATTCGTGCTCGTGTAATTTTTAACAGCCTTTATGCTTTTTGAACTTTCCACAACGCTTTCATTGTTTTTATCAGATGTTTAATCATTTGCTTTTTAAATTCATTATTTTCTTGTAAGTGAATGAGTTAAACCGCTGGTTAACATTTTCTAACCGTTGTCTATAAACATTATAGTATGTTTTTAAAAATAATAATAACTACTATTATTATAATTATCATTATTGCAGTCGTTATTTTTATTATTGTTAAATATTAAACAAGATGTCGTATTTGATATAACTTCTTGATCAATTAATAAGAAAGGAATTTTCAAATTTTGAAGACATAAATTATTTACCATCATTGGATTATTGACTGGAAAATGAATTTGGCCTTATTTCATTTTATAGAGATGATGTATTGAGTATGCTAATGATGATACTGACGACAATGATATTAATGATGTTGGTGATGATGTTGGTGATGATGTTGGTGAGGATGTTGGTGATGATGTTGGTGAGGATGTTGGTGATGATGTTGGTGATGATGTTGGTGAGGATGTTGGTGAGGATGTTGGTGAGGATGTTGGTGAGGATGTTGGTGAGGATGTTGGTGAGGATGTTGGTGAGGATGTTGGTGAGGATGTTGGTGAGGATGTTGGTGAGGATGTTTATTTTCGAGGTTGGTGATGATATTGACGACGATGTCGACTTAGTCGATGACGATGTTGATGAGTTTGATAAAGATGACGATACTGAGTAGATGATAATGTTGATAAACATGATGACCTTATAAAAGACTGATGAACATTTTTTAAAAATCAAATTGGTATCGAGCGAGTTCAAAAATAATGATTAGGACCAGCCAAGTGTGACCGCTGATAACACCCTCATACATTAAGCTAAGCTATAAATGAAACATTTGTACCAAACTCCTATTTTATCTTGAACTGGCAAGCAAACCAGAGAAGTATGGAATGAAGTTATTTCATTTGTGTGATTGCACTTCTGGTTACACATTCAATGGGATGCCTTATGTTGGTCGTGAATTAAATAAAAGACATAAGAAGCAATTTTTTGTTCTCTTTTGTTATTTATCTTTTCATTTATCTATTTATCTTATTATTGTATATTCCATTTCCCAAAATTTTACAAAAAAAAAATAAAACAATAATAAATAAAAATGCCTTTCAACAAAATAAAAGGCAGGATTGATAGATTTTATTATAAATTTTTATAAACTGCAATCGGAAAAAAATACTAAGAACGTTCTAAAAATTCGTCAATTTTTTTATTAACTCTTTGAAAATTTTAAAAAGATGGGTATTATACCTTGTCCGTGAGCTGTGGGCCCTCACACAGATTGTAACTTCTTCCAAGTTTTTTTGTTTATTAAATATGACTTCGAACAAATTAAATTGATTTTAAACGGTATTGCATGGCACAAAGGTCCCAAAGCAACAAAACCGCATACATAATAATTGATAATAATAGTAATAATATAATTCTGTGCAATATGTGAATAAAATTTCAAACTTTAGCGACCTTGATGTCAGGCGATCTTAATGCTTGGCGACCATGATACCGAGAAACCTAATGTCCGGCGGTCTTTTGCTGGCATCCTTTTTACCTAGATCCATCTGAACGTGTTTATTCCAATTAGATATTTGGTTATTTTTTGAATTTTACAAGTTTGCTGTCACGTTTTTTTGTAAAGTTTGTATAGATTTATAATTTTATTATAAAAAATTAATTAACATTTTCATTTCATAAATTGTCTGGTATGTTTTTATTCACTATGGAAGTTATGAAGTTGAAATTATTGCAGAATTAAAGAGAATAAACCTGACGAGAAAAACTAAAGTTTTGCAGGAGACATAAATATGGGATGGGAATTAGATTGAAAATTCGTTTTTTGACTTGAAATACATGTAATTGATGGATCGGCTGAACGAATGAAATGTTTTTGCAGAGTAGCAGTAGGTCTGTCTCTATTTCTTTCGCTTCTTGCTATCGATTTATTTTCTACTTGCAAATTTAATTAAAAAACCAATTCTATTTGACAGAATAAATCTGTAAAAATAAAAAAAAATTGCAGAAAAAATTTTTGGTAGTCATGCGCGAGCCATACACAACAAAACGAATTTATTTTATTAATTCATTGAATTCAAATTAAAACGGAAACAAAAATAAAATAAAAATGTTATCCAAAACTTTCCTGTGGAACAAAGTAAAAAATATTTGCATATCGGACGGAAATTGTTCTAATTACGTAGATTACATTTGCACAACATGTAACATTATGAAGACGAACACACAGTTTGCTCTATGAAAAATCAAACCATAGTGCACAAAATGACTAATTATCAAGAAACAGCAAGGTCCCATATAGTTTTGTTGCCAAATAATTGTAATGAATTTCTTTACAGACTTAACAAAACTTACAAATAAGCAAATAATGTAATGAATGTACATTCAATTGCATGCTTATTTTTATTATTATCATCATTATCAGATGACTTATATAGCGCCCATTAAAGTTATTTCACAAGCGCTTTCAAATATATGCTCGATGCAGATGCCATCTCTTAAACGGACACGCCATCTCTATTGTTTTTTGTCCTGTGATTGTCGAATTAACATTTAAATTGTTGGCCAGAATGAAAGTTTCGGTTTGGCGATGCACTTGTTGATATGTTGGAGATTGCTTGCATTAATTTATCTGCGGACTCTCTGTTTACGTCGTTGATGTAACGGTACAGCGGTTTGTTGATGCAATGAGATACATTGTGATGTGATTGCCATGTGATCACTTAATAGAGAAATGACATTGTTATAATGTGGTGGGGGATGATTTTTAAAATGTTAAAGTGAATTAGTGAATGATTCACTTTTTTTTACACAGAACCTTCGACATATTTCTCTTCCATGATCTGGAGGCAAACCTCCTCCCGGAACCGCCACTGCATGAGTTTGCTCTTCCTTTTATAATTTTTTTATGTTCTTTATGATGCAGCTCTGGCATACGCAGTACTGCTCTGCGATGAATCTAAGGACGGGGCCGCGGGATAGCTAGCCACCTGTTGTGAGGGCATTATTTTTTATTAAAAATCGGTAAAACTTAGTTTTCGCACAGAAAAAGTGCCGTTTTGTTTCACGTATAACATGTATAAGAGTGTTCTCGTACGTTTGATAACCAAAAAAGTCGCCAGCCTAATTTTTGCCACACTAACGCAAACCTTAGCTCCTCGTCGAAATTTGAAAATTTAAACATTAAAGTTGCCTAGATCCGCCACTGGAACCGCTTACACATAGTCAAACCTCTTACACCACTTGTCGAACAACAAACGCATAGTTTTCCAATTTCGAACAGACGGCATTCGAATCAGGTCGACGGGTAACAACACAAGACATGACACTTCCACCGACTAAGCTAACTCGCCGAAAGTTGAATTTATTTAGTCCGGTCATATGCAAGGGCAATAACAAAATTCAATGGAAATTTTTGTTTTTAACACATGACGTGGTAAACAAACGTAACGTTATCAACGAAAGCAAAAACATTCATTGGGCTGCGCCTTACCATTTATCACGTAACTATTATAAGTAAATTAAAACAACAATTGAAAAAAAATTGTATTTATTAGTTACGAGCACATGTTGAGAACAGACGTAGTTGAATTTTTCGTCTCTTTTTTCCTTAATGATTTATTATCCTCTAATTGTTTTTCAGTACAGAAAAAGTTTAGTGCTTCAAATCTTATTGCGCTGCGCTGCACTAGCAAATACTGTTGCAAAAATGAATAGAAATAAGAATGCACTCTGTTTTGTGAACATTCGGTTCGAATAGATATTTCTAGGAATGTATTTTGCATTATAAAAAAACTAATTCATTCATTTAAATAATAGTTTTAATATCTTGATCACAAGTTGCTTTGTTGAACATTTTCAAAATACAGTTTTTAAGTCGTAAAAAATGTAACGGACACGCCAATTTTTTTTATTCTTTTTTGAACACTTGAAATATTCATATCATATCATATTATTGTTCCATTAATCCAACGTTTTTTTAATTTTTTCAAAGAAGTTTGTGTAATTTTTTAAAGAGAAATATTTTTTTGATTTACATGAACAAATTAATGTCCACCATCATGAACACATCTAACAAAACCTTCAAAAAATTCTCAATAAGATTCGAGTTATGGCGCATGCTGGCCACTTCCTTAAACAAACTTCTGACTCAGCAAAAAAGCTCTTATAGCGTTTAACATGAATTGTAGCGCTGTTTCAATGTAAAACCATTGTTTCCTGTTTTTGAAGAATAGTGCTTGAAAATTTTAATTCATTTTGTCGAATTTTTGTCCACTGGTTATAAAATTATTTAGTATTCCGAACGTACGTGCGTCTATTTTTTCGGAGCTATCTTCAAACATCCCACTTGGAAAGGTGTCTGTTTTCTTTTCTTTGGTTAAACAAATAATACTGATTACCAAGAGCTAAGACTGCATAGTTCAATTTTTTTGTCTCTTCTATAGCAAAGACTTCCACCTATCCCCAGTTCAGAAGAATTTTGTAAGCTCAGAAGAAAAATTCTCCCTCATAATATTATTTTGTAATAATTGGAGTCAACAATTTTTTCAAAAATTAAGTGACCGTTTTAGTTCAAACTATTTTTCTTTCAAATGTTGGATGCATAAATATTTTACGCCAGAGACTTGCAATGCGGCGTTTTGCTTTTTAAAGTCAGATTATTTAG